AATGTTCTTTTGTAGCTGTTCTTATTGACAGATAGGGTCTGTTTTCCAATACTTTAATCTAGAATGGCTTATATTACAGTAAGTAAAATACAGTGAGTATAAAAATGTACTAGTATTATGCCTTGGCCTAAAGTGTCTTGAAAACACAGGAGGGTGCTATGAGATGAGAGTTCACAAAGGCAATCCATCTTTCCAAATGACTACCTGGAAAATCTCAGGCCTTTTAGATATTAGAAAGTGAACATGGGGAAGGATTTCTATGTCTTCACATGTGTCTACACCTTGACATCAGAATTTAGATGTGAAGGAAAAAATTGAAACTTTTTATCTTGTCATTGAGCCTTGATTCTAGTGATCTGGCTAAGGTTGTCTGGTTCATCTTCTGGTGAGGAGTATGGTGTGAGTTTAAGTTTATGTCTGTACACATTTCTGCATAACTCAAAATCATCTAATATGACTTCCAATATTAAATCAGGGGGGAAATCTGTATTTCTTGTATGCTCAATTCAATTTAGTGATTCTGAAATCAGCAAGTCTTGAACTCTGGTTTACTGTTTGCATTGGATATATTTGTTGATTAGCTATCAAATATTACAAACTACACCAAACTTACAAATTCATGATTGAAATGATCAGTGTATGAGAAAGCCCTGTATAGACTGGGTTAAGCTGGGTTATTCTTCTGATTTCAGCTAGGAAACTTTCTGCATATGCTCTGCTATTTGACATGGTAGCCCTGCTCCTGGAAGAGAGATGGCTGTCCACTGTGGCATTTTTCTTCTCATCCACATGACCTCTTTTTCTTCACAATCATCATCATATTAGCTTCTCTCCTTGAGATGGTGGGGTATACAAAGAAAATCAGGAAAAACAAAGCTCTGTCTGAAAAAGAAAATAACCAAGGACCTGTCAATCATTGATGCAGCAGCCTGAGTTCTAATTGTTTCACCTGTCACTCAGAGGGGTCTGAGGCAGGTATTTTGTCCATTCAGTTAAAAATTATCCAATCAGAGGTGATTGTGATGGTAATTATTCAATCATAAACAACCAAAGAATAGAGGACAAGTTTCAAAATTCTGGGAGACTTTTATCTCTGGCGGAGGTAAATCTCTAGATCCATCAGGTATTATGATACCTGGGAGTTTCTGTCACAGGTTCTTTCACTCTGAACTTCAGGGGCTAGAGCATTTGTAGAAATGATAAGTCTGCAGGGCTGGGCATTATGAAACAGAAGACAGGGGCTGGTTGAAAATAGAACTAATTGTGGGAAACTGAACTTTCCTGAGGTCAGATTTGGAATCTGTTAACCCTAGTCAAATTTTGATAGTGCTCAATATTCCATCACCTCTGGCCCACATAATGAGGCTTGACAGGATACTACTTTTATGTCCTGTGCCAGATTGTTGGCCTCAGCCTTGGCTTAAACTCTCTTTACCTCCTTGCCACACACCTTTATGACATGAGAATTCTGACTGACATAATAATTCATATTTGGGAGTAGTTGTGGCCCATTAGGTATTCAATTTCTTTTTATATCTCAGATGTTGTCCACTTTTTTGGGTATTTTCCAATAGTATAGTAAGCATGAGTTCCCTAAATGCCATCTTTTCTCAGTTAACTCAGTATATTATGAATTATGCTTTTTTACTGTACATTTCAAATAACATAACATTTTAATTCATCTTTTTCTCTGAGTTCTGGATAAATTTTTTTAAATAAAATATGTTTGTGTACATTCACAAGAGAGAAAAATAGGATTATCACTTGAAACTGTAAAAAAAAAAAAGTTTGGCATCTAATGCCATGTGGGAAAGCATGTCTACAATTCCAGCAACTCAGGAGGCTGAGGCAGGAGGATCACAAGTTTGAGAATAAAAATAAATGGGAGAATGTCTCTCAGTGCTTAAGCACTCCTGGGCTTAATCCTTGGTACCAAAATAAAAAATTATATAACATCTTATCTATTTGTCTTCTGTAAGCATGGATAGAAGGTTTAGGGCCCCCTTAAAAAACTTTAGAGTGTGATGGGTCTTCAATGAATGCCATGTCTTTTACTGGTCCTGAGTGTCAGCACTGCATGAAGGTAAACCAAGGTTCCCCCAGCTGCCATGTTTGATGAATTACCTAGAGAATATCAACATCTGTATAATCATTACTTTCTACAAAGCAGCTTATTGGGAAATGGAGCACCTGGTCAGACTGGCTGGTTACTCTAGAGATTACAGGAATATCCTGTATAGGTTTTATATAAATATCATGTATTGAAACATTAATATAATTTTCTTCTAATTTTAGATTCAGCTCCCCAGAAACACATTGCAGTTTAGTCACCTAGCTTCTGGCATTAAAGAGAAAGGGAAAAATGATCTCTATTATTTTTCCTTTTACCCATATAGGGAGAAAAGATTAAAAGTTCTAATAATGCAGAAGGACAATAAACTACGACAAAAAATCAGGAAAACAATTCTAGTCTATTTGTGCAGGAGTCTTCAAGGGAAAACTCACTACATGCAGATAGGAAGGCATAGTGTATTGCCTCATGGTCAGGGTGGTCATCAAATATTTAAGCCAATAAAATGCTGGATAGAGACTGTCTCATTTTAGTTTTACTTTCTCATTAGCTATGGAATGTAATTTATGACTAGTATTAGAAAGATATAAAAATTTTTCCTAAGAGTAAAGATAGAGGTAATTTCAAAATAAAATCATACACAAAATAAGGTCAGTTAAGTTAGTTCTTAATAATATATGTGGCTATATTTTTATTGTTGTGGAGCTATTTATAAAATATCAGATTAGACAAACTCAGATATTCATAATGAATGAATTTTAAAAATTCTAAATGGATATTGCAATAATGGGAAAGCATCAAGTATAAAATCTTGATGCATCCCAAAATTTAGCCTGTAAATGGCTTGTTTTTAGAGGGAAGTGTAAAAAAAGAAGTTGAAAGGGGAATGCATCAAAGAAGGGTAAAATATTCATACCCAACTGGCATATTTTGTCATTCCAATAATTACAACTACTGGGAGGTTAGGGCAAAAAGTTCACAAGTTCAAACTTAGTGGAGAAACTTAGTAAGACCTTGTCTCAAAAAATTAATTAATTAGTTAATTAATTAAAAAGACTAAGAATATATTTCAGTGGCAGAATGCCCCATTATCACAAGAATAAATCAAAATTCAAAATGAAAAAGTATTTTACACAAAAGCCAACCTATACTTAGGAGATTAAAAAAAAAGTTGTGTATGTTGCTATAGGCTGACATGACATGGTTTAATGTACAAAGGGTAGAACATAGGGGGAAAATTTAAGGTAAGGTTGGATAAACGATATTTTGTTCTGATCACTAAATATGAAACTGTTAAATTAATTGGTTTTGATGGCAAAAAAATGGAAATTTTGCAGTGTGAGTGTCTGAATCACCACAGTTTAAATAGGGAGAATTTTCTTAATGATGATGGTAAGGGAGATTTTGATACTGAAGCAAATCACCAAAACTAGAGGGTATTTCTTCAACCATCTATTTCCTAAAATTTTCTATGTGCTCTATTTCCCTCTAACATTTTTCATGTTCTCTATGTATTTTCCATTGTCAGCTTCCTGAGTTTCATATTTTATAGAAGCTGGTATGTATAAGTAAATTGTGTTTATTTGTTCTGTAAGTAGTTAGTTTTATTAGAACATGTAACTTGAGTGTGTCGTTGTAGAGACCCCAATTTATGAAAAACTCATCACAAATATAGATCTTATTCTGGGGCTTGCAACTAATAACTCAGATTAGTGAAATTCGACAGGAGTGAACCCAAAACTTGTGGCATCTCTACTAAGTGGTATCAGTGTTGAATTATTAGACTACTAGTTGTTGGAATATTGGTTGTTGTGCAATTTTACACATTTGGTATTAAAAGTGGTTGGAGAGCCAGGGGGTCAGGCACACTTGTAATCCTACTAATTTTTTTTTTTTTTATTTTAAATATCATTTTACTTTCACATTTATAAATCCAGGAAGCAGTTTTGAGAAAAGGGGGGCTGAGGCTGCCTTTGAGAAAAGCCTGGATCACCCCTCCCGGCTGGGCTCCCGGGTTCTACATGGCCCTCGTGGTAGCTGTGGCGTGGCCCTCGTGGTGGCTGTGGCGTGCTCCTCGTGGGGGCTCTCTCTGTGCCTGGACGCTGCCTTGGCGTCGGATTTTATTGCTGGTGAACTTGATGACCTCACTTCTGGCCAGTTAGTCCAGGATGGTGGCATCAGCAGACATGGGTCTGGTGGTGGCCGTTTTGCTGAGGTGAAAGGGCACTGAATGTGGAAGCTGCACTGAATTCTGTTTGGCTTCCTCCAGACTAAAACTGTTTAGTCTGTTCCCGGCTCTGGGGAAGGTGAGGCCCTGGGAGAGCTGGGTGGAGGATCTCCTGTCGCCCACCCAGATGGGACATGTGTCAGTCAGGCGGAATGGAGGTCCCCAAATCAGTCCCCAGCCTGGCCTGCTCCTCCTTTCCTGTGCCACATTCCTTTTAAGCCCCTCCAAGGTGTCCCCTTTCCGGGGTGGTAAGAACCTCCCCTCCAATCACTTTCCAAAATTTTACCTCTGGTGCTAGATGGGATAGGCGATTGGCAGGCAGCGGTCCAGACACACAGACCTGCCTTGCACAGGCATGGGTTCTGAAAGACAGACGGTTGGCCCTGCTCTGGGGTCATCACTGAATGTCACAGGGACTCAGTTGTCCCAGAAAGGACCATCTGTTATAGCAACACCAAGGTGAAGGCCAGAGGTGTCATCTTATGACTCAGATTTGATCCTGCCCTGCCTGGGCAGCTTCTGCAGCACCTCAGCTTCTCCACCCCTCCTAAAAGTGCCAGGTACCATTTTTGCAATCCACTGATGACAGGCAAGACCACCCTGGCGGCCAGGAGGGCCTCAGCTGTGCCTGCCAACTCAACAGCTGAGGGTGATGGCTCCTAATGCTGTCACATCTCCTCCTGCAGATGTCTCCATTCCTCTCCAAGGTGAGGCCAGCGGCTTCCTGATAACAGGTGGGGGAGAGGCCCTCGGGATCAGGGGAGGCCTCAGGAGTCTTAAGGAGAGGTGTCATGGAGAAAGTGTCATTTCTGTGCTCAGACCTCTACCTGGCTAGCCCCCAGTCTAACAGAGATATCTGGATTCATGGGTCCTAAACATTAGTTTAGCAAAAAATCTGGTTTCTGGTACCCAAAGAGCTTAAAGTCCCCTTCAAAACGTGCATACAGGCGCCGGATGTCTCGTTTGCTGATGCCCAGAAAGTAGCGCTCCACCTTGGTTCTGTTATACACGGTGATGCCCGGTGGGATGGTGGGGTAGGACACCAGGTGGTCTATGCCGGCCTCTCTCAGGATGTACAGGGCATCCTCCTCCAGGGTCTCGTGGTGTCCAATCACACTGTACTTTATCTCACAAGGTGCACAGAGTTCGACATACGTCACCCAGTGAATGATATGGTCCCCAAACTGAAGGTCCAGCCATCTGTGGTTTGGATCACCCAGATAGCGCACGAAATCTTCAAACTGGATCCCCCGGTTCTTTCTGTATTTCCTGATGATGCCAGGGGCAATCTCGTGCCTGTACCAAGGCTCAAAACGGGGATTATGAACAAACTTGTCCTTAAATGCAGAAATGAGTCTCTGGAAGGGATCTCTTACAATAAAAAACTTGAAGTACGTTTTCAATCGCTTCTCAATTCCCACTTTGCTGAAGGAGGAGAGACGAGGGAGGCCGTTCTTCCATGGTCATGAACAACGTTTTCGGGAATCTCTTCGATGGAAGGAAACGCTCCATTGAGCACGATCAGCACTTTCTTCCACTGGGTGTTGCCCACCTTGGGGGTCTGGCAGAAAAGAATCTTGTGCTTGTCGCAGACAAATATGCGGTCCAGGACAAACTTGGAGACCGCAGTGTGCGAGAGGTTCCTCAGGGCCTCGTCCCTGCAGACGTTCCTGATGAGCTCCAGGCGCTCCATATAGATCAGAGGGGCAGCCGGAGGCATCCTCCCAGTGGGCTTCGGATCCTCGGCAAAGTGCTTTTCTTCTCGCGTCTTCCCGGCTTCTGGCACAGTTGTCAGGAACAGAAACTCCTGTTTGGCGCTGTACCCGTCCGGGTCTTTGAAGGTCAGCGTGATGAACTTGCTGGCCACCATGAACATGAAAATCACCCAGAAGCACGCGGCCAGCAGGAGCCACTGCTGGTGCATGTTGTCAGCCGCCAGACACTCAAGGACTCTCCCTGCAACGGTGTGTGAAGAACCTTGGGGGTGGGTGCTTTTCATGTTATCACGGCCCTGGAGTGACACATGGGGTTCTCAGACAGTCCCAGAAGTCACACTCTGCCTCCGTGGAGCCGGCGCTCGATGGAGTCCTCTGGCTCCTCCTCGGCCCCGGAGGCTCCTCTCCGGCCTCGCCGGGCCTGCGGGCCAGCGCGCGGGGTCCAGGTGCCCCGGGAACGCGGAGGCCCGCCCCGCCCCAGGCCTGTGCGCCGCCGCCGGTGCCCCGCCGGGCCCAGGGATCTGGCGGCGGCCTCCTACTAATTTGTAAGAATGATTCAGAAAGATGTCAAGTTTGAGGCCAGTCTCAGTAATTTACAGAGGTCCTAATCAAATTGGTAAGTTCTTGTCTCAAAAAAGTAGTAATAATCAAAAGCACAGGGGATGCAGCTCAGGGGTAGGGTGCCCCTGGTGAAACTCCTAATTTCATTTTTAAAATTGTTATTTTTATTTGTTATTAGCATTACAATAGATGCATTTTAACACATTGCATACAAATGGAACATAATTTCTCATTCTTCTGGGTATACATAGTGCTCAGTCACAGAACTTGTGTAATCATATATGAATATAAGATAATGATGTCTGTATCATTGTATGATCCTTTCCATACCCACACCCCAACTCCTCTCCTCACTCTTCTCTACATAATCCAAAGTTCCTTTATTTTTCACTACCCCTCCAACTATGGAATAACATCTGCTAATCAGAGAAAATATTTGGCTTTTGTTTTTTTTGGGGGATTTGCTTATTTCTTTTTAGCAATATATTTTCTAATTTACATCCATTTACCTGCAAATGCCATAATATTATTTTTGAAGGCTGAGTAATATTGCACTGTGTATATGTAGCATATTTTGTTTATCCATTTATCTGTTGAAGGGCATCTTGGTTGTTTCTGTAGTTAAGCTCTTGTGAATTGAACTGCTATAAACATTGAGGTTGCTGTATCACTGTAGTATTCTGATTTTAAGTCCTTTGAGAATAAACTGAGGGGTGGATAGCTGGTTCAAATGGTGGTTTCATTTCAATTTTTCTGAGGAATTTTCCTACTGCTTTTCATAGTGGTTGCAAAAATTTGCAGCACCAGCAATGTATGATTGTACATTTTTTTCACATATCCTCATTAACACTTAATATTGCTTGTATTCTTGATAGTTGCCATTCTGCCTTGAGTGAGATGAAATCTTAGATTTGATTTGATTAATCACTAGAGATGTTGAACACTTTTCGTGTTTCTTAATCAATTGTATTTCTTCTTCTGTGAAGTTTCTGCTTAGTTCCTCTGCCCATCTATTGATTGGGGTATTTGTGGTTTTGGTGTTAAGATTTTTGTGTTCTTTATGTATCCGGAAGATTGAGACTATCTGAGGTGTGTGTGGTAATGATTTTATTCTTTTCTGTAGGCTCTCTCTTCACATTATTGTATCCTTTGCTGATAAGAACATTTTTCATTTGAATCCATCCCATTCATTGGTTATTAATATTACGTCTTGTGCTATAGGAGCCTTTTTTTAAAAAAAAGTGAAGTCTTAAGTTAAAATGATAAGTGTTTGGGCCTACTTTTTCTTCTGTTATGTGCATGTTTTTGTTCTACTCCCTAAGCTTTTGGTTCACTTTGAGTTGACTTTTGTGCAGGGTGAAAAATAGTGGTTTAATTTCATTTTCTTACATATAGATTTCCAGTTTTTCCAGCACCACTTATTGAATAGGGGGTCTTTTCACTAATGCATGGTTCTGGCAGCTTTGTATATATAAGATAACCATATTCATTTGGGATTGTCTCTGTCTTTTGTACCAATGTCTGTATTTCTAATTTTGTGCCAATACCTTGACATTTTTATTACTATTGCTCTGTAGTGTAATTTAAAGTCTCGTATTGTGATTCCTTCTATTTCATCCTTCTTGCTAAGGATTTCTTTGACTATTCTGGGTCTCTTATTTTTGCAAATAAAATCATGGCTTCCTAGAATATCTGTGCAAGTTCTAAATATTTCTAGGTTAAACCATTGTAATATATTAATATCATATCATATCTTAAAGAAACCTTTAATATAGTTTAATTATTTATTCATTCAAAATTTTCACATCAGAGCATTTTATGAATGCTTACACTGTATTTTCTGTGGACTTTCTCTGCTGTGTCATGAATAGCAGTAATTCTCAATGGCTGCTCATAGTAGTTATTTAAGTGTAGCTGAAAATTGTGGTTTAAATAAAGATTTCTAAGGCTGGAGCTGTTGTTCAGTGGCATAGTGCTTGCCTAGCATATATGAGGCACTGTGTTTGATCCTTAGTGCCACAAAAAATAAGTAAGTAAATTAATTAATTAAATCAAATTTAAAAAGTCATTCTATCTATCCATAACTAAAAAAAAATTATAAAATAAGGATTTCTAAAGTAAAATATTTATTCAGAATTTTGTGGGTTACATTTTCTCTAATTCTTGTGTCTCTTTTTGAGTTCCACTATTTAGAGTAACTTCAGTGTTGTTAAGTAGGTTTCCACACATAAGTTAATACAGTTTTTATTTTTATGCCTATGTGATATAATGGAATAGAAATTTTCATGACTTTTCACTTTAGGACAATATTAGGTGAAATTTAAATGCATGTGAACAATGTGCCTATTTTCAATAAACTTTTATTTTACTTACTTGTATAAATATTACCCTTGTTTTGTTTATTCTGTTTATGTGATTATTTACATAATTTATCTAAATTTTGTGATATAAATACATATAGGCATAAATGTATGTATACTAGAGATTGAAGTCAAGGGTGCTATAATACTGAGCTACATCTCCAGCCCCTTTTTACTTTTATTTTGAAACAGATTCTTACTAAGTTGCTGAAGCTAGATTTGCATTTCTCTGTCTCAGGCTTCCAAGTAGCTAGAAGTACTAACATATTCCACATCTTTATACAAATAAATTTGTTCTCTTGTTTAGGAATAAGACTTTAGCATTTTAAAGGTAACAAAGATTTTCAAAATTCTGTTTATCTATAAAAGGTTTTTGAAATTTTAGTTGTGATCAAAACCATTAACTTACTTATAATTAAATTTACTGTCTTTTAAATGTTCTGTTCAAAAGTGGTGATTCAAATGGTTTTGTAACATATTTCTAGAAAGTTTGTATCACATAAAAGTAAAATTCAATTCTCTCCAAAACAAGTGCTCATTTATCTCTCACCTTTCCACCACAGACACCATTCCTTTTGGCCTGTATGTTTAGTTAAATTACATAACTCATAAGTAGAATCTCATGATATTTGTTTTTGTGAATTACTTATTTCACTTAGCATACTATACTAAAAGTTGATCATTGTACATATTATTAATTTATTATCTTCATAAAGTTTGAAAACATTTCATAGTTCATCCCAGATTGCCTACATCCACTCATGTGGAAGGACATTTTATAGGTTTCCACATTTTTCTCTATGGAATGATGTTTTAATGAGCATATATCATTAACTATATTTTGAGTTGATCATCAAATTGAAGGTTAATTTATGTATTCTCAATTTTGTTATATATTGCTTCCTCATTTAACTTCATGTTAACAAAACCATTCAACATGCAGCTTTTATTATTTTTATATCAGGAAGCATTTTTAAAATTTTAATGTCTAGTTATTTATGTAACCTGGATACCTCATAGAATCTTTAAAAACAAGTTACTTTGTTTCTGCAAAAGTAATATTGAGTGTTTTATATGTACTACATGAACTTCTTAGATCACTTTGGGTAGTATAGGCATTTTTTTTTTTTTTTTGGTACTAGAGGTGCTTAACCACTGAACCACAACCGCAAACCTTTTTTGAATTCATGGAATTGGCTTCAGAGGTATTGCCCACTGAGACACATTTAAAGCCCTATTTTGTATTTTATTTAGAGACATGATCTCATTTGATTGCTTAGCCCCTCATTTTTGCTGCAGCTAGCTTTCAACTCTTGATCCTTGTATCTCAGCCTCTGGAGCTACAGGCATGGGCTACCACACCTGGCTGACAGCCCTCTTTATATTTTATTTTTAGACCACTCTTGCTAAGTTCCATAGGGCCTTGCTAAATTTTGGAATTTGGCCTTAAACTCATATTCATGAATTTTTGGATATCACTTCCATTTTTATTTTCCACAAAATTACTTTATGTTAGAAAGCAATATCTGTATTTTAATATTTATTAACATTTGTTTGTACTTTGAACCTGGTCTTTTGGGGATAATATTCCATAAACTATTGAGAAGATTTCTTATTATTGTGAACTTACTAGGATCAACCCCAGGTACTACTCTAGCAAGAAGCTTTCCATGATCAGTAGAAAAAGAATCACCTACGCCATGTAGTTGAGGATAACTTATTGTGTGGTGATTCCTAAAAGCCATTCTACACACTAGTAAAATTTATTTTTCTTTTAATATATATCATCCTAATAAAACTTTGGTTCATATGTTGAAAATGTATGCAACTCAGTATTAAGGGGTGCTAAGCATGGTGTCTTTGGTCACAGGGATTATGAGGCTTCCAAATCATCAAGAAGGGTGACAGTGGTGAAGGCCTTTTACATTTCTGCTTTTTTCTTTCTTACAGACACACGCACACACATATGACCTATTGCATATAATTTGTTATAGACATCCCATATAATATATATATACAATGTATGATTTATTAGTATAAGATTTTTACCATATGCAATAAAAACATTGTTTTATAAATGTTAAAATTCTTATCTTTATTTATTCCTGCTAGTTGTATATTCCCAAAACAATTAAATTAAAATTATAAATGATGATATATAGTGTATCTTACTTAATAAATTTAGCATATCTTAAGCATGCTAGTGATTTGAACCTTCACCTAAGTGTTTTAAAAATAGGATCTGGCCAGCCATGGTGGTATATTTCAATAATCTTAGAAACTCGGGAAGCTAAGGAAGGAGGAAAGCAAATTGAGATAAGACTCAGCAACTTACCAAGACTATCTGTCAAAATAAAACATAAAAAGGGCTGGGGATGTGGCACAGTGATTAAGTATCCCTGGGTTTAATCCCTAGTTTAAGAAAAATAAAAGAAAAAACAATAATATGAAAAAGTAAAATTTAATATTTATTGAGATAAATGAAAGCTGTGAAATGAAACTGAAAGAATGTACAACTT